AGATTTGCTATATCTCACAAACGCAAATATAGCTTCTGCAGGCTCAAGCTTTTCAAAGTTTTGCCTTAATAAAGTTCAACACAAGTTATGTTAAAGCAATATCACATGAACAAAAGTGCTGTTCTGAATATTAATGAATTGTTCAGACAACTGATTTGTTCTGAAAGATTCGTTTAAGAATGAAACACCAGTGCATTTTTCTTGGTGATATGCAACCAATCATAAACTTGGTGATACTCAGCACAATTATAGGTGTGATATTCAACTGTTCAGTTTAATAAGAAGTTAATATTGATTATCTTACATTAGCAGTTGTTTAGTCTATTTATGCTTTGCCAAAGAAAATCAGAATCAACAGTTCTGCAACTCCAGTATTGGCAATTATTTCCTGAATGAATTGCTGTTTTTGAATCAGTTGACTGAATGAATGATTCAGTGGTGCTTGCTCAACATTTGTTTGGTTCCTGAATCAGTCTGGTTTTGAATGAATCGGTTGAATGAGCGATTCTAATGACTCAATCATAAAGGCAGTCACTTGTCATCATGCACTTACTCGTGTAACAATGTAAGAGTCACTGAAAATTCCGACCTGAAATGAACATCTTTGCAGACCGACAGGAATGCACACAAACACAGACAAGTGGAGTGATACTAATAGTGTTGGGAAGGTTACTTTTGAAATGTAATAGGTTTCAGATTGTGGTAATACTTTATTTGATGGTGTCCTTGTTACACATGTTACATGTACTTACTATTATAATAACAATCAATTATGCAGAATTACATGCAAGTAACCCTAAGCCAAACCCTAATCCTAACCATATAGTAAGTACATGTAGTTAATTAATATTACTCAGCACTTAAATGTATAAGTACACTGTAACAAGGACACCTTAAAATAAAGTGTAACCCAGATTATTTAAAATGTAATAATTAGTGCAACTAGTTCAATTACTTTATTAATGTAAATGATTACATTTCGATTACTTTTCCAAATTTCTAACGAATGTTTTCAACTGTTAATTAGTTAATCAACTCTCAGACAGGTTGTAGCCTAAAGTTTTCATCAGCAGCAATGTGGATTGATGTAATTGGCAGATGTGGTACGCTGCAAATTCAAACAAGAGAACCAGTCAAAAGCATCAGAATAGCATTGCTTTACTAAATGGTCTTTAAATGGCAGGAGGCATCATGAACATCAAAAACAGGCAAAACAACAGATTAATATTATTCAACATATCCTAGCTTTTTACAGAATATATTCAGATGTAACTCCCTTCGTAATCATTAACATTTTCATAAGTGACTAATTTAATTACACTTTTTTTCTTCTCAGTAACTGTAATGGATTACAGTTGCATTTATTTTTCCCTTGCTAACGGGTATGTACAGTCAGCCTTGGGGAAGATAGTTTGGCAGGGTACTATTCATGGCCACAACTATCCTCTAAGGGCCTATGTGATGAGGGACTGTGACTTGGCCTTTTCAGTTGTATTAGGACTTGAGTTTCTGAGGACATCAGGAATCATCGTTGATTTTAGAAATTCCACATATTCATTGCCTGAAGAATGTGATGTAGTCCACTATTTCACAACTTCTTCACCTTCACCAACAGTCAGTTTGCACCTTGCACTACCTTTAGTGCCAACGGCTTCTACTACTCTAACCACCATAAAGGAGTTAGTGGATCAAGCTGATGCTTCTAAAGCACAGAAACGTCAGTTAGAAGGACTGATGCTTGACTGGCCAACTGTATGCACTGACACTTTAGGACAAACCAACTTAATTCGCCATCGAATCAATACTATCGATGAGATTCCTGTGCGTAAAAAAGCATATCCTGTTTCGGTCAACAGACAGAAGTTCATTGATGAGGAAGAACTCTTTGCTCTACGGTCTGCAAAAACTCACCTAATAACCAACATTCTGACGAAAGAAATGTTCACTCGATGGGGAGCACCAGCATACCTGGTCTCAGACCGCGGCCCCTTAGTTCACTGCCCAGTTACTCAGTGATACCTGCAAGCAATGGGGTGTAGTTCAAAAACTCAGCACCTGTTTCGCAGTGTGCCTGACAAGCACCAAGGATACACTCATCAACTAAAGGGTCCACTTGAGCGATTGATCCGCAAACCTCTTGTTTCCTCAACTCTGGAAGACTTTATATGCTAATGTTTGGACTTGTTGATATGAATGTGTGGCTCACAGTATGTCTTTAATACACATGGCTCACTGAAATGAATCAGTCTCTGTGGTCCCTCAATCTTTATGTAGCATCAAAAAGTTAGGTGTTACAACGTAACACCGCTACATAGAACAAGTTACTATACTGGATACTAACAATAAAAAGTCCCAGTGCTTCTATTGAAACACCACTTGGCCAATCAGATTTGAGGACCGAAACTGTTGTTTGTTACCTGTTTATGTGGATGGACCTACAGGTCAAATGGATAAAAGAGTAAAACAAAATTGTACGCCACCCAGAAAATATCATCCTACTCCTGCAGGATGGGTCAGTGACATTTTAACAAGTTTTTTCCCCCCTCAAGTGTATATGCCTTGCTCTTGTCTGACTCCTTTAACTGGCAGTGTCCAACATGGACTAATTGGATGTACAAGTAAGCTATTAGGTCTGTCCTGCTGCCCTTCTGTAGACCATGAGCAAATGCATCGTTTATTTCTGTTTGTCTTTTGCTTCTCCTACAGACACAAAAGTCAGAGGCTTTCATCGGCTCTGCTGCAAGGTTGGTGGACTCGAGGTCAGGAAGCTCCATCAGTGTAAGAAAACTGCGTAAAGGTGCCGTCATACTTGTGAAATTTCAGCAGGATTTTGCAGACACAAAGTGCCATTGTATATTGTCAGAAGTCTTGCAATGTATAAAGCACAGCTCACACAGAAGTCACTTTCAAACCAAGAAGTTTTCTGTTAGTGAACGCAGCAAGTTCATGCAACCAACATGTTGCAAAATCTGCTTGGGGAACAGTGGTAAATGTGATCAAACGTTGTGTGAGCTCGAGTGAGTCTCCGTTTATAAAAAGTGAGGGATAGCAAGCAAGCTGCTAGTACTGTAAATTTGGTTCTTATTCTTACTCTATACACCAGCCATCTGTCAAATCATAAATGCTCACTACTGCTGCTGTGCAAAGTTGTTCCTCTTCAAGGCACGGCCCAGATAACAAAGTCAGACTTGTCGCTTGTTGACAACTTGTTAGGTACAAAATAATTCACTTGAATCACAAAATAACAGGATTTGATGTCGATAATGGTATTACTATCCAATCTAACATTTTACCATCCATTGATAACTCAAAGGGGCCGATTGAATTACACATTTAGGCCGATAATTCTCTCATTGGCTTTGGTGAGTCAGTCTGTTGTTTCCCTGTGGCGGTTGAGCCAGCGGTTGGCCGTCAATCCAGGATGTTAGGCTGATGTAAGGATGCCTGTGCTGGATCAACTCAGTCTGGAGAGCACTTTTAATGTGGATTTGGCCTCATCTGGAATGCAAAGAGTCCCCCTGATGCATCAAACCATTCATCCTTTATGAGCACAGTGAGCGTGTGCAGAAACCAGAGGTGAATTAAACATCACGGCTATAGGACAGCCTGGCTTTAGTCGTATATTTCCTCACACAGCAGCATGCAAGCCCAATCACTTGCATGCAATCCCGCAGTACGTGGATACAATGGTAAACAGAAGTGTTTGGAATACCTAAATATGTATTACAGGTATTGTCACAAGCTGGTGAATACTAAATGACAGACCTCTGACTTCTCTATCTGAGGTATGATAGAAATAAATTAGACATTGATCCGCTCTTATTTTATTCATATCTCTCTGAATATGAGGCAGTGGTATCAGTGACATGGACAAATCCTTGTGGATAATCTGTTCACACAAAGGAATTGTTTAGGTGAAACTTTAAATAGGCTGTCTCTTCTTTGAACATATACGTTTATCTGAGGAAACAGAAATATCTGATAAAACTGTGATGAATCTGTCACAGACATCAGTTGTGTTTTTTCTCTCTGTGTGTAACTGGTTGAAGGTTTCTTAGACTCATACCCATCTGTGAGGAATGAACTTCTGACAGACTGCGATGAAGAAGGGCTGCTTCTCTAATGTCTGCTAATCTAATCAGACTGTCAGTGGGATCTTAAATTACTACAAACAGTCATTTCAATTTAAACAGAAATAGTATTTAGATTTTGAGTTTAGTCAATTTAATAGAATTATGCTGTGCACATAATCAGTACTATCATAAAAACATAATTTCTAACTTTTTGTAGGCAACTGTAAAATCAATAAGATTAATTCAGTATATTTTCCTGCATTTATTCCACATTACTATAGACAATATATGGCTGTGTTTTAGAGTATTGAACTACTCTGCCACCTGCTGGTTAAACCAAGAGCCTATTCAATTCATTATTAAAACACACAAACGAGAGAATACTAAAATGAGAATACACTGCACACAAGCTTCACTAGTTCTTGTGAACAGTGTGAACGATGTGTCTGATTTGAATGGTGCAAAAGTGAAATCTCTGTGAATCACTGCCCTAAAGGAAACTTTAAATAAGTAGATGGCAGATTAATCAAAGTATTACTCAAGGGCATTTTATCCTATTTATGTTTAATGCCTTGAGCAGCTAATAAAGTCACAGACTGTATGATTCAAAGAGAATATTCCAAAAGAATTTGATGCTAATTTGAAAATACCAACACAAGCTATTACTTTAATAACCTTGAAATGATTGGTCTGTTATGCGTCACAACATGCACAGGATTTTCCATCTCATGCCCATCTGTTTCATTCTGCCAAACATTTCTCATATTAAATAAAAGGTTATTTGGATGTTATTCTAAACAAAAACTGAAATGTTTATTGTTTAGAAGGTCTACAAAATTCTTATCCTTTAAGTAAAACCTAAATAAAATTTATCACAAGCAAAAAGCTGATACGTAAATAAGACAATTTTGACCCAGAAAAACCAGAAACACTTTTAATAGGATTTTTTTTTCATCTGAAAACAAATCTACACAGTAAGGTGCTTTGTGATGCTACATAAGATAACAAATGCATGCAAAACATGTTGAACCTCAGCATCCACATTGTGAAAATAATACCATCAGTTATTACCAATAACACCAACAGTTTTTGGCTCAAAAGAAATGCAGAAAAACAATGTGAAAAAGAGTATAAGTACTCGGCCCAGTGTTAATTATTAGTAGATTTAACCACAATACTGTTAACATCTAAATTACAATGATACATAATTAAACTTTCACATAAACATTACGCATACTTTTAAGTGCTTGCTTAATCACATTTAGATTTGAATGTCTTTATAGCTGCTTCAAGAGGATCACCAGCTGGTTTAGGAAGATCAACCGGAGTAAGGCGAATCTCTTCATGAACTCCCCACAACATCTGGTCACCTTTAAGTTGTTCAGCAGGTATAATGAAGTTCTCAAGGAGCAACTGCTCAATCTGCTCTCGCTGTAATGTGAAGGTCAAGGCAGCGGTCACCGATCGTGTTTCAGGGGGTGTGAGCGCAGCGGTAATACAGGTTTGGTCGTGAATACTGATGCTGTCCATCGAAGAGCACCTCTCTCTAGAATTGGTGCTGCCCATTTGAGGACTCTTCCCCTTGGATGACTTTGTCAGACTTTCGTGCTCACATTCGTACACAGAGCTGTGGTCAGATGATCTTACATCTGTAAGTGTACCAATAGATTCATTGTCATCTGATGGAAGGCTGCTGCCAATTGTGACGACATCTTCTGATGCAACTTGGATGGGTTTCAAACATTTGTTGTGTGGGCCATTCTCTCGAGAGTAGGAGTTGGTGCTCATGTCTAGAAGAATGCAGTCGGAGTCTTGATCTGTTTCAGAATCCCCATCATCGTGACTAAGTCGGCTTATTTTGGACTCTGGAGATTCGAACACCACCCCGCGAGACTCTGGCCGCGAGGTTCTTTGAAGCATGTTTGTAATGCCATTTGTGGAGGTCTGAATATTAGAATTGGTCATCATGTAGTGCTTGACCGATTCTGGAATCACCACCTCTTTGGCCTTTTTTCTGCAGGGGTTTAGAAGAGAAGAAAAATAAGGCAGACAGTTGCCCACAATGGGCACCAGTGAGATGGGACGCAGGGCCGACACAAAGTCCTCCAGCTCCTGGTAGGAAGAATGGTCCGAGTAAGGCACCACATACACATTAGTGTGACAGGAGATCATGGGGCGGCTGGTGGGCAATATAGCGATGGTAGGCTGCACTTTATTCCACGCCTGCAGGTTGGAAGCATTGATCATAGACTGAGAGACCACACGAATGCGGCCCGCACCAGAGTCAGTGGTGAAAACGTCAGGGAGCTCCAGAACACGCAAGGTTTCCAGACGCTCTCTATGCACCTCCACCCATGTTTTAAACTCCATAGCCAGCTCCACCAGCAGGGACTCTTTACCCAGAGAGTAAAGACCTAATAACAGGTAACAGACTCTTAATAATTATTGCAATGGAGATTCATTGAGATTAATTCAGTCACTTTTCGCAGTATGTTTTCTATCAGCACAACTATATGACGTTAATGAGTCAATATGACACATGTATAAGACACATATAAAAAATATATGAAAAATAAGTATTTTAATATATATTACTTATTAAATTAAGTTATATTAATACAGTTATATGATAAGTATATTAATAATTATATAAAGATATTAATAAATAAATATTTGCACTACCGGTCAAAAATTTGGGGTTTATGATTTTTTTCATGTTTTTGAAATGTCTTTTATGTATGGAAGCCCGTTTCCACCACTGAATAAAAATAAATAAAAAAGGTAATTGCGACTTTTTATCTTACAATTCTGACTTTTTTTCTCAGAATTGCCTGATACAAACTTGTAATTCTAACTTTTATCTCAGAATTGTGAGATATAAACTCGCAATTCTGACTTTTTTACCTTGACCTTTTTTATTTTCACATTCATTTTAAAAAAGTGATTCTAACAACATCATTCCTCTATATCGTTATCATTACAGCTGTGGTGTGGACTTCCCAATTCTCATGGAATTAGAACGATTACTAAAACCTACTTATCGTACTTGATGTAGACAGGCCTTTATTGCCTGATCTCATTTAAATTGGTTTCATTTTTTGTAGTCTGAACATAAAACATCCTATTACATGAAATAATCTTAAAATTTTGCAAGTGTGGGAGTCTCACCAATAACCACAGCATATCCAGGATGAGCCCTAATGATCTCTTTAATTTGCTGAGTGGCTCGTTGACGAGAAGGTACGGCTCGAGTGGGGTCACAGTTTGTGTTGTCCAGATACAGCACATCAATGGTAGTGGTATTCCTCAGACATTGCTCTCTGAGCATAGATGGGGTGTAACGGAAATCACCTGAGATAAAACACAATAACAGTATCATTAAAATGTAATCTCAGTATGTGACAGTGAATTTCAATAATGTTCTTTCTTAAGAAAAACTATTAGATTATAGCACATTTCCATAATATAAATTTTCTCCTCCCCACACACACCAGTGTAGAGTCTGGTGCCAAAGTATCCCTCAAAGAGAAACATAACTGCCCCAGGACAGTGATTGGCATCTATTAGAGTAACGGTCAGTCGTTCTTTTCCAAGATCATCCAGCAACAACATATGAGCTTCCCCAATCTCCAATGGACGAATCCATTTCTCTTTGACCTGTGGAACACAACAACAGGGCACAATTTGTAATTCCTTCAAGTTTCAGCCGTTTAACAGACAAAAGTATGCATTTATGAATTCATCTGGATTTTAGGACTCGGGGAGGATTAAACATCAATGGAATTTTGCCCTGTCCAAATACCCACACTTGCGCTCTTGGACACTTGAGAGCACACACGACAGGAAGTAAGTGCGCAAGACTGTCCCAGGTCTTAAAAATGCTAAAGCGCAGCGCCCTTAACGCACACTATCTCGAATACTGCTCCAGAGCGGTATTTGAGGCTTAGTGTATCCCATCATGCACCAGGTTCTGGAAATAAATAATTTGTTACAAATAATTTGGTAGAAAAACAAAGTGTTGCATGTTTTATTGGTGCAAAGATGAGTATATTTATTTTGTACAACATTTTCAACTGCTTTTTATCACTTAATTAGAAGCACCACAAATAAAATTTTGTCATCTGTTATAGGGACTACTGAACAAACATTTAGAAGTTCATTTTAAAATGCAGAGTATTGAAAATAAAAATAAAGCTCTGTAACACTTGCAGTTTTACAACACTGTAGGTGTGTCCCATCAGGTAGTGAGAAGTTCTTCACACACTTGTGGTCTTCATGTTCACTTGAACACTTGGGCCAAATACAGGAAATACATCATAAAAGTCGTCAAGTGCAATGACTGCAAGTGTGGGTACTCATCCATTGTTTTCTAGACCGGAAGTTTTCAAACCTTTATGTGGGACCCCTTCCTATTTTAAAGGGGTCATATGATGCTGCTAAAAAGAAACGATCCACAGCACGAAGTTGATGTATTTCCTCAGCAACCAGCACGGATGAGCTCTAGGCATGACGAAGCGGATATTGTCCTCTTTTGGAAGACCAACCAAAGTAGTTTAGCTTTCACAATGAAACACAGTGTCTCCACGGCATGGCGGCGGCAACAATACTACAGCGAGAATAAAAGTTATGCTTTCTTTCTTTGTGTGAACATTTGGGCGGCGTTATGCAAATCTTCCCACATAGTGACGTAGATATGTGGGGGCGTGTTAGAACGAGCCGTTTTAGGTAGGTGTGGTTGACTCTTAACTTTTATAAAGAATATCTCTTTGGATTTGAGACTTTAGTCTTTGCAACTTTACAGATCTTCTTTATGCACCAAGAGCTTGTAACACTCCAAAGCAAAAGGAAAAATTGAAATCGCATCATATGACCCCTTTAAATATGTATAGACCAATTTATACTAAGTGAGAAAAAGTGTGATATTATAGACATGTTTGTTGTTTTAATTAAATAAACCTTTTATATGGTAACTGTACTTAAGCCAAAGCACATGCTTACTATATTGACTACTGAGTCTATATTTTTTGACCCACTATTATTTAGAATCACATTTATTTGTAAAGCACTGTTCACTATAAATATTATTCCAGTTTATTGATTTTTTTTATACAGTTGACTTTAATATTTTGTGATGTTTTTTGTGTATTTTGGGGTTTTATATTTTTGCATCATCATATATTGTATATAGCTCTTCATAAATGTATCTTTTTTGACTGTTTTTATATTGTGTAAAGCACTTTGTGCGCTGTAGCTTTAAAAGTGCTATATAAATAAAATTTTACTTACTTTAATTTAATTTTGTTATTGTTAACTAAAACTATAAAGAAATATAAATATTGCTTTAAAAGTGCTATATAAATAAAATTTTACTTACTTTAATTTAATTTTGTTATTAACTAAAACTATAAAGAAATATAAATATAAGGTGAGAAAGTTAAACTTAAAAAAGACAAGAAAGGTTCATTTGGCAACTAACTGAAATAAATAGGCTTAAATACTAAAATTACTATATAAAATATTTAAACAAATCCGATTAACGCATATAACAAAATTACTAAAACGTAAACTAAAATTATAACTGATAACAATATAACCTAAATCTAAATATCAATAAATACTGTAATAGCACACAAATAATACTAAAATAACAATAAAAAAATAATTATTTTTCTTTCAAATTTTCCCCAGACAACCTAGCTGCTTGGCCTCACCTTGAGTTTGCGCTGGAGCAGTCTGGCAGTGAGAGGAGAGCAGTATATGGGCCTGTGACTCCAGGTGGATGACAGGCCAGAGGTGTGATCCGCGTGCATGTGAGACAAGAAGAACAGACGGACGTGATGGCACTTGCGGAGCTGCCAGCAGTCTACAGCTATTGGAGTGTCTGGTAGGACTTTTCCGTTCATTTTGAGCTGCGGTGAAGAGTTCAGACGGTATCTACTGCTTATTCCTAAAGGGATTTGTTAACAAGAGCTGTGTTTCAGTTTCACTGGATTTGTTGATGTTTGAAAAGCATCACTTCAGTGGCAGAGCTGTCACTAATGTAAATAAACACAATATTCAGTATGCACTAGCAAGGGGATGTAAAGTAACAATGTAACTGACAGCTTACAAGCAAGCAGCGCTAGCAGTAAACGAACATCTCTTTGTTTTGGCACAGAGTTAGTCAAAAAGGATAAATGCATGCTTGCCAGTCACGGTTCGTTCATCCGAGTGTGTTAGCAGGCCGGTTAGCCGGGCAGGCGATGAAGTGGTGTATTTGTGCAGATGAGGGCCATGCTGAATCCGCGCATTGGGCTTACGAGGGTCGCGGTATGTTAACAAATTCAAAAGATTTCAGCGCGCTTTGAAAGGCATTCCCGAGCTCTGGCATTTGAGGCGCGTTTGTCCGCCAAAAAATACGTTTACTGTCCACGCCTCCATGTCGCGCACGCGCTCTTGTGACGTCACTGGCTTCCGTAATGGGCAGGTTTCGTGTTTTTTGCTTGAGCTCAGCCCAGAAATTGTCATAGAACGACTGCTTCAACATGTCACATTTTTTTTCGACTATTGATCACAGTGGAGGATATTAAGTGCCATTCAAACTTAAAATAAGTTGCTTTTAAATACCGCTTCGGTTCATTTGCTTTATTTATGTTAATGGTGGTCTCTTTTTTCTTTCTTTCTTTCTTTCTTTCTTTCTTCGTGTTTGTACTTTGGTGGACAGTTGTAGAGAGATATAAATTCACATATAATGCAGCTGATATGTTTTTACTTAACCATTTAATCCCACCGGTCACAAGAAGGTTTTCATCAAGCTCTAAAAATCTTACTGACTGACGTTTTAGTGCATTTCCTGCAAATATGGAAAAAAAATAAAGGGTCTCAATTAAATATGTGCAGTTTCACATGGTTAGTGCAAATTATCACATGACCGGAGCAGTTTATTTTTGCACCATGAGAAGATGATGACTGCATCAAAGCTCCAAAACAAAAGGCTAATAAAGTATGTTAACATAAAGATATGACAAAGATTTTTGGTCTACATTATCTTTAAGGTGTCTAGTGTTAATATGTTAAGTGTTAGCTTAACTATTTTCGCTTGAATGAGATATATTTGCGCTATATATTTAGATTTTGTGTATTTTGATTGTGGTCATTATCTTTACTCCAAAATATGTTTTTGATTGAGGCTTATTTTTTAACCTGGCAAAATTGGTCTATTATTTACAGTAGTGGTTCTCAAACCTTGCCTGGAGTACCCCCGGCCCTGCACATTTTGTATGTCTCCCTTATTATTATACACCTGATTCAACTCATCAGCTCATTAGTGGAGACTGCAAGACCTGAAGTGGGTGTGTCAGATATAGGGAGACATACAAAATGTACAGTGCTGGGGGTACTTCATGGAGAGGTTTGAGAACCACTGATTTGCATGCTTTGTTTTATATTCGGCACCCTTTAAGTCCACTAGAGGTCGCTATAACACTGATATAGCGCAGAGTATCCTGATTCCTTTTTAGCACATCACTATAAAGCTTGAGGAATTCTTAAAATAGATATTTAATAGGGAATATCACCTGCATACTGTGACTAGGCATACGAAGAACCGACACCCACATTAAAGATATAGGTTAATACACAATTGGGAAAACTGTAAGTTGGCACAGGGTTAACTGCTGTTTCATTACTGAATGCATCTGAAATTTGATCTCTTGAACCACTCATTGATTACAGATAGATATCTAAAATATATTGCTCAGCAATTAAAGATGCATCTAAAATATATTCATGTTATTTAATATAGATAGGAACCAGATTTGGAAGTCTGTAATAAATTATGTTGCAGTTAAAATCATTTATCATGTGTAATTATTTCCTTTTAATTAATCATTTGTAGAATGATAATTTACCTCTACATACTTACTGACACATACACACATATAACAAGAATAGAACAGACTTTGTTAACATGTTAAAAAAGCAACTGGAAGAGCAAAAAGCATCATACTGTAAATGAATAATGTTTTATATTTTTATATTTTTGTTGCTACCATTTCAGAGCTATAGCTGTTTAACACTGCGTCAACCATTTCCATAATATGTTAATTAATATAAATTTAGTTATGCATTAACAAGATTAATAAAATATTTTATGACATTTAATGTGTATGTCTTTACCTAAGAACATTTGTTTGCACAAAATTGGGTTCATATTTTTTTCCACTTGAGATATTCAACAAAAAATAAAAACTGTGCCAACCAACCCACTACCCACACATGTGGACCCCTGGGACCTGTGTTACTTCTACCAAGAATCTTCACTGCTTTCTTGGCTGCTTTATGCTCATGCATGAGAGGAACAATGACATAATAGAGGCTTATTTGGAGCTAAATGTCTACTTTTCACTCAAGATATTATTTACCACAAGAGTAATTTTTAAATTCGATTTTTTTATTGTATTTCATTAGTATGAGACAAGCAAAAGATGATACCAACAGCTAGAGTAAGGCAAATATGCTGACAGTAAAGATGATGAATGATTATGAATGATGATGAAGTATTTCCATTGATAGTAAAGTGATTATTTCCTGTTTTCGATCACATTGAGAACTGCATGGGGTTCAGGGACAGAAAGCTCACACCACCTCATTCAGGCAATGCAATACCACACATTTATACTGTCTGTCTGTTGCAGTGAAGTAAAAACAAGATGGCAAAATGAATTAGCCCATTGTTCCCATTTACTCAAATATTTGATGTACAAATGATTGTAATTCCACAACTGTCTGTTTAACAATTATGAACATAATGTACTTGGACAGAGTGCATAACATTACTATGTACAGATTAGATACATGTTCAGCGTTGATGTCAGTATAGACCTGGCATGTGAGATCAAAATCGCCACACTAGTGTGACAAGCGAAGTGTGTAATTCGTACGCCACTAGAGTGACCAAACGGAACTGCAAAAATAATTCTCAAACACTCCCCCATGTGAAATTGGCATCCCAAACTCACGGTCAGGATGTCGGAGTCAAGCTGGTTAGGATGCTCAAATAAACAGAGCAATGTTTTGATGGCTCCTCAGAGCCACAGTGTTTAAACTTTTCAGGGAAATCAACCAACAAATGGCTTTACTTATAGTTGGGACAGGAGAAAGCATTTTATCATCCCAAAAATTACACACTTCACCTTTATTGGGGTTACTTCACCCAAAAAGACAAGTCAAAATGTAATTCAGTAGTGTAGAATACTTTTGTTTTAAAACTGATCATTATGATTCTGGAACAAGTGTAGCTAAATTCTGCTATAACACTGAAAGGTAATACAGTATTGGTTTTGATAATTTATTAACCCTGAATATATTCAAACAGTGGAGATTTAGTCTTAGGTACTGACAGTTTTGCTTCTTTTTTCCGGTCACCAAAAAAGGATATAGGACTTCAGTGTATCTTCATATCCTCTAACAATTCCAGTTTTGTTATGATATGCACCCAAACATACACTTACACACACACACACACACACACAATTTTACTAAAAGGCAAGAGAACCTCACTGCATCTGTGAGTAAATTCCAATGTCAGCTGCTTGCAGTACATTTTTTTTGTCCTTCACAATAACAGACCTGCGCTGAGACACTCCATAATAGGACAAGAAAAACCTGTGTCCACCTCCTTGTCACTATTTCTGACATCCTCTTCCTTTCATTGTGCACAAAGGTTCAGAATACAAGAAGAGTATCCAAGAACCTGAGAGTGTACAGCGCTATGATATCTGTTCTGCATACATTCATGTTGAACCAATAACTGGTGATGATATGTACAGAGTTCTGGCATGAAACTCTAGATGGCGCAGTCCGATAGGTCTAACTCAATCTGACCTAATGACATCATCACATGGCACAGCTGATTGGTTCTCTCCTGTATCTGTAGCCAATGAGCTCGCTGCTCAACATTCAAATATATGACTAGTGCTTGCTGTAGCAGTTGCAGCTTGCTTCAGAAACCCTCCACCTTCCACAGCTCCACCTGTATAGATCTGCTACGAGGTGATTCATATATGCTATATGGGGGTTATTTCATGTATGTTATATTTGCAGCAGCAATATTTCTTACATGCTCACAGCAGCATGTTGTGGATGTATTGTAGGGGTGGAACGGTTCACGGAAAAAAATCGAATCGTAAGGTTCTCCACACACGGTTCGGCACGCGCTAGGACCGCGGTTCAACTTAAATCACCAACGCATCTGTAATATGGTTTGCTATAAATGACACGTAAAACAAACAGGGTTCAGCTAATGTATGTTTCTGTTGATGGATGCGCATTCTGGCTTCCCAGTACATTACAACAACAGCGATGGGAAAAAAAAGACGTGGACAAACCATTCACTTTTGTTCAATGCGAATGCGTATGATGGAATATGAGAAGTCATTTATTTCGTCATCACCCAGGTGCTGATAGCGCGTGCGTACAGGTGAGACCTGAACAGCACACGCTGATATCTGGAAATCACTCACTGCTCTTGATTGAATAGCTTTTGTAACTTTAATAAAGATTCATATTTAATTTATACAGTGAAATATACAATGCTGTTTTACATTTCATTACTTTATTCAATTTCTGTAGCTAAAAACTAATGTAAAGACCTACCTAAAAAAAAAAACTGAAAATCACTGTTTATTTTATTTGTATCTTTACTCTATTGTATTTATTTGTGCTGTTGCTTGTAGTTAGATAGATTATTCTTAGCAGCAGTATTTCCTACATGCTCACAGCAGCATATTGTGGATGTATTGGCAGTAGCAATTCTTGGTACTTGCTCTGCCGCAGCAGCAGCGTAGCAGATCTATTCCGCCAAGATTAAATACATTAACATGATCATGTACATTACCATGCCAATCCCTCCGAGAGTTCTCATGACAGAAATATATATATATATATATATATATATATATTTATAACTGCACAAAACACAATTGTGTGCAATTCTTTTGATTCATTATACCTTATGTTTTTATAATTTAATTGCATGATATATACTGTCAAACTAATTTGATTTAAAAACATCCTTCAAGGCTGCTTCATAAAGCAAGATTTACTGTGTAAGAGGTGAAATGATCTCTTCATGAAACCAAACGTCAGGAACTCACACAAAACAGATTCCATGCAACAAAACGATAAACTTTCTAATCTGAAGAGATCTACTCAACTGCCCCTTGACCCATCCATTTCTGACCGTCACTGGCTTATTAACAAGTTACAGTTTTCATGATTATAGAGAAAAATGACACTTTTTGTTATGTGCTAGCAGGGTGCAGCCTACTTAAAGGTATTTAATCACCCTGTATCCTCTGAGTAAGTACAGAACTGGCCAGTTTTTGCAGTGTGTTCACCATGAATTACTAAGCGATACCAGGTCATTAATGAACGATTAATTGAAAGT